TTAAGTTTTCGCATTCAGCTCGTTCCAGGGCCCGACACGGCCTCGTTAGTTGGCCCCGCGACGCCCTCCGCCCCGCCCCGCCCCCACCACGCTGCGCACAAACGGCCAGCAGTGTGCATCGCTTAACACGCGCCACCCCGCCCCACCCCGCCCTGCCCCACCACGCCACTCCTTTGCCCTCCCTGTGGTCGCGCACGGCGCGCCGGGCCAGCCCCAGCGCGCGCACGAGCGCGCTTGTAAGCGCTTAATACGCTCATTTAGGATTCCTAATTACACTTTTACACCTGGCTGCTCCGCACACCTGTGTATGTACACCTGCGTGTACGCCTGTGTGCGCAGCTCTACAAGGGCACGTGGTCGGGCGTGTCGGACGTGTTCGGCAGCGCGCGCCAAAGGGATTCCATCTCCGTAAAACTTATTACGTTCTACCCCCTTCCCCTACGTCCTAGGGTCAAAGGGGCTCCTACGGCTCCCCGCAGCGCGCCCCTCGCGCGCCTCCGCCGAGGGGGCGCGGCATTGCCGCTGCACAGCAGGCGAGGCACTCACGGCTCCGGCGGCCGACCTTCCCTCCGAACCATTCACGACCTCCTGCTGAGCGCCGGCCCACACGGCCCTGCTGACCGCCGCTGCCTCTCCCGGCGGCCTCTGGCGGCGCGCCGTCCGTCTCCTGACCTCGCCCAAACGGCCCCGCGGCCTCGTCCTGACCCTCCCACTACACACAGCAGGAACCCCCGGCGGGCCCTGCGTCCGGGGCGGCCTCAGACTCCTCGGATGATCCGCCGCGGCGCAGTCACAATGGTTGGGCGTCGCCCGGAGCGCGGGCCCGGGGCCCCCCGCACGGTGGTGGCATTGAGCCCCATCTCATTGTCTCGCGTAATTTGCCCTTCCCTTGTGGTTGTCTGGTGGACCGCACGCCCTCCCCGCCGCCCCCTTTTCCTACCTCCCTTCCCCCCTTCCCCCTTATCCGCTCCACCCCTTCCGCACTTTGGAACTAATCCTCGGGGCTAAACGCAGCCGGGTGTTATGGTATGCAGACGGTGGCTTTATTGGACGCGGCAGTGGGCTGATGTGGGCGCCGCGTCGCCTTCGCCCCTCCCCCCCTCCCTCCCCTCCCCTCTCTCTCTGTCTCCGCCGGCTCTCCCGCGGGAGCCGCGTCTTGTTAAAGTAGCCGTTGAAAAGGCGGAAGGGGCGTTAACATGTACGCCGCAGAGAGCCAAGCACCGGCTCCTTTTCAGCTCTGCAGAAAGTGTGTAAGGAAGCAGAAACAAGTTTATGAAATGATGCCCTGAGGGAGGGACAAGGATAGGTTCCTAGGCGAACACGACGCGTTATACCCGTGGAGCTAAGATGATTCCAATGCTTGTAAATGATTTGTCAGAAAATTCAAAAGTAATAAAAAAAAATACTCTACAGATACATGACAGTGTAATGGACTACACAGCAAGAAACACAATGAAAATCCACATCTATAAAAGAACTACAAGCTAAGCGTACGTAAAGGTGCATGGGTTGGCTCCCTCGTGCAAGGCTTCTTGGGTTGGGACGTCCCGGCAGAATAATCTTTTTGATACCCTCCTATCCCGTTATATTCCGTATGCGGATCGCGGATTTACTTCCGCATGTACTCTGCCATCCGCGTTTGTTTTGCAAAATCATCTTGGCGCGGTTTCCCTTTTTTTTTTCTAATCATCCTTTGCATGTAGATGTGGTTTCATTGTGTACTGGGAACGGCTGGCTTCGCCTGTTCTGAATGTCCCGATGTTCTGGCTAGAATCCAGGCCCCGCAGGTCGGCGCGGGGGCACGTTGAGGGGCGGGGCGGGAGCGCACGGGCCCGGGCCGGGGCCTTGCCACCGTGATAACCCCTTCCCTCTTCCTTTTCTTCTCGATTCCGACTTTCTATCTCGTGATTTGCACACCCCATGTTCTGGGCAAGGAGCGCTGGAACATCTGTAGCTGTCGCGCGCGCGCACCGAGTCAGGTCCCTTCTCTTCTGCAGTCCGGCGGCTCCGTGTCCCTGCCACTGTTTGCAGCGGCGTATGCTCGTGCTATGCTCCGTCCGTAGCATTTTGTGGTCTGCTGCGATGATAAATATTTCGCGGAACAACAATATACATGTCCCTGCTATGTCGGGATGCTCTCGCGCGGCGCTATACGCAAACCAGCCCCAGCGTGTTCCTTGACTGACTTGTGTGTGTCGAGTGCGACCGAAATGTTTATGGATGAATGCAAATCGTACCCTATACATCCATCTATTTGTCATCTAACGGGCCCCATCTGAGGTGGCGGTTTCTGGTTGGTGTTTTCGTTGTTGCTTTTAGAGGGCTGGAAGTAGATTCATCAACGTCAAGTCGAATTTCCGATTTTTGGGCTTTCTTTAAATAACAACCATACCAAATTAGTATATGTTTGTCTGCATAATATTCCATCGTCTCGCACCCCCGTCACAATTTCGACTGCCACACTTAAAAGTCAACGGAAAATATTGCATGCATATAAAGTTGTACCACAACTATTCTTTTACACTTTTTCGTGTGTTCACTAGGCTCACCTGTCTCGTATCACTGTTGTTCAATTCACGTGGTGTCGCATTCCTTTACCTGTAAAAGCTGTCACATTCTTTTGGATGCTACTGTAACATTATTTTTCATACCTTGGCCCAGCGGCACAACTCGAACTGCGGCGCTACCTGGCTACCTGTAAGGCGGGGGCCGGGAAATAAATGCCGTGCCCGGACTGCGGCGCTCCGGGCAGGGGACGGGGGGAGAATGCTTGAACTGCGGCGCAGTGTGCGACGGTAACAGGGGTGCACGTCGCAGGCGACTAACAAACCTAACTCAATACAGAAAATCAGTAATGGTATTTTCAAATAGAAGCAAGCAAACGTAAACTAACAAACCTAATTTAATACAGAAAATCAGTCATGGTATGTCAATGCAGCGTTGCACTCCGCTATCGCTCCGCGCAACGCTTTGGCATGGGTGCCTAGGCCGATGTCCTTTTAGGTCCGTCACACGTCATATTATCACTACATTACAATAGCTGTACCGAAAAATAAAAACGAAGCATACTTTCA